TGATAGACTTTGTATTTGATTTGAACCTGAATCAACCTTAGCCTTGATGTTGGCCTTTCTATCGTCTGACATTTTGTCTAGCCAGATTATGCTTGAACATATTCAACTGTTTGAACTTTTCGTTATCCGACTAAAACACTAATGCACATGTTAGTAATAACAATATGTATTATATTTGTCAGATTCAAAACCTTGGTGGGAATTGCGAATGCGCTTCTTCTGACTTAACAATCTCCCCCTTTTTGAGGATGACAAATATAATCTATCAAGTTCATATCAGATACAGAACATAATATCATGTAATGTAAGGGATACTATAATCATTCCATTTCTTGAAGTTCCTCCCCCTAAGTTAATGCTCTCCCCCTTATTACGTGATTGATTTAGTTTGATAGATTTTTTTTATTCTTTCTCTCCCCCTTTGTAATCAACAAAAAGAAATAAAGGGTGAGTATGACATTATAGTGATCATCTATCAATTGCATTCCTAGCCTATCTCTCAGCCAAACATATCTATCTTCTTGAAGGGGTTTGGTGAAGATATCAGCAAGTTGTTCTTAAGTCTTAACATAAATCAGTTCAAATGTTCCTTTTTGCACATTATCTTTAATGAAATGATGTTTAATCTCTATATGCTTAGTCCTAGAATGAAAAATAGGATTTTTTGAAATGTTAATAGTAGCAGTGTTATTGCAAAGTACATGGATACTACTTTCATAAATGTCGTAGTCTTCTAGTTGATGTTTGATCCATAGTAGCTGCGTGAGACATTGTCCTACGGCAACATACTCAGCTTCACAAGTGGATAGGGCAATCGTGCTTTGCCTCTTACTAGTCCATGAAACTAAGCAACGACCAAAAAAATGGCATCCTCTGCTAGTGCTCTTTCTCTCCCATTTGTCTCCTGCATAATCTGCATCACAATATCCTAGAAGAGAAAAGTTCTGGCTTCTATAGAAGTTGATGCCTAGGTTAGGTGTTCCTTTTAGATATCTTAAAATTCTTTTAACTACTTGCAAGTGTACCTCCTTAGGTCGTACTTGGAACCTAGACCAAGAAAGAACAAACCATTCCTCGGTACATTATGCTATCAACATCTGGTGATTCTTCGTCTAGACCAAGAGTTGTTGAAGGATGCATTGGTGTCTTCATTGGTTTCGCATCTTCCATCTTAAACTTTTGTAGCAGTTCTTTGGTGTATTTCGTTTGATGAATTTTAACATCTTTGTCTGACTTGATGATTTGAAGTCCTAAGAAGAACTTTAGTTCTCCCATCATGCTCATTTCAAATTCATCCTGCATAAGCTTGGAAAATTCTTGGAAAAGATTTTCATTAGTGGCACCAAAAATTATGTCATCAACATAGATTTGGACTATTAAGAAATTATCTTTGATTGTTTTTTCTAAATAGAGTGTTGTCAATCTTGCCTCTTATAAAGTTATTATCTGATATAATTGCATACCAGTACATGCAGCAAAAGCAAGTAAAATTCGAATTGCTTCTATACGAGCCACAGGTGCAAAAGTTTCAGTAAAGTCTATACCTTCTTGCTGAGAGTACCCTTTTGCAACTAACCTTGCTTTATTTCTTACCACGTTTCCCAATTCGTCCAATTTGTTTTTGTATACCCATTTTGTTCCTATGATTGTTCTGTCCTTAGGCATTGGAACAAGTTTCCAAACATTATTCTTCTAGAATTGACTCAATTCCTCTTACATGGCCTGAACCCAACTTTCATCTGATAATGCTTCGTCCGTGGTTCTTGGCTCTGTCTGAGATAGCAGAGAAATTTGTGCTTGCGTTCTGAATGAACTTTTAGTTCTTACAGCATCCTTTGCCTCTCCAATGATTTGCTCTTGCAGATGATGAGCCTTTATCTGCCAGTTGCGATTGACTGGCTCTCTATCCTCTCTTTCATCTTGTTGAGTTGTTGTTCTTTCAGACTCAGGCTTTTTCGACTGATCATTGTTTACCTGCATATTCTCAAAGAAATTGCCTAACTCTGATATTTCTTTATCAGGCATGTGTTCATCAAATTTAACGTGAATGGCTTCCTTAATAGTTTTAGTTTTGTTGTTGAACACTCTATAGGCTCTTGACCTCTCAAAGTATCCAAGTAGGATACCTTCGTCGACTTTTGAGTCAAATTTTCCTAAATTATCTTTGGTATTCAGGATAAAACATTTACATCCAAACGGATGAAAATATGATATGTTGGGCGCTCTCCCTTTCCACAATTCATAAGGAGTCTTTTTTAGTAAGGGCCTAATATATATTGTGTTTTGAATATAATAAGAAGTATTAACTACTTCTGCTCAGAAATGTTTAGGGGTGGAGAAATCGTTTAGTAAGGTTCTTGCCATTTCTTGTAAAGAACGATTCTTTCGTTCTACAACTCCATTTTGTTGTGGAGTTCTAGGTGTTGAAAAACTATGTGTTATTCCATTTTCTTCACAAAATTCTTGAAACTGTTCATTTTCAAATTCTCCCCCATGATCACTTCTAATAGATTCAATTGATATTCCTTTTTCATTTTGAACTCTTTTATAGAATACATGGAATACCCTAAAAGACTCATCCTTGTGAGTTATGAATAGTACCCATGTCCATCTAGTGTAATCATCCACAACGACTAATCCATATCTTTTACCACTCACAGATGATGTTCTAGTGGGACCGAATAGATCTATATGGAGCAGTTCAAGAGGTCATGAGGTGGAAACATGATTTTTTCTTTGAAATAAACTTTTAATTTGTTTCCCCTTTTGACATGCTACACATACACCGTTCATCTGATGCACAAGATTCGGTAGTACTCTTACGAGGTTATGCTTTTTCAATTTTGAGATTAATCTCTGACTTGCATGACCAAGTTTCTTGTACCAAATCCACTGATTCTCATATGAAACTAAGCAATCAACATTCTGATTTTCTAGTTCATTCAGCATTATTTTATACAAGTTGTTGCATCTGTTAGCCGTGAATAATATGGATGAATCAAGTTGACTAATAGTACATTTATCTTTGTTAAAGGATACTTCATAACCGCTATCGCACAATTGACTTATGCTTAGTAGATTATGCGTTAATCCTTTAACATTCAAGACATTATCAATGGAGATAGAGGAGTTTATACCTATTTTACCTATTCCCATGATATATCCTTTCTGTCCTCCTCCAAATGTGACTTGCCCTCCTTTCTTGGACTTGAGGTCTAGGAACATAGACCTTTCGCCCGTCATGTGTCGCAAGCAACCATTGTCCAGGTACCATGATTGGGCACTTTTTGTTTTTGTTGAACAGATCTGCAACAGGTACTATTTCAGTTTTTGGTACCCAAATGGATTTGGGTCCATGAGTGTTAGTACTAGAGGTTTTGGAATCCCTCTTCTTATGCATTGAGTAGCCACTGTCCAGGTACCATGATTAGGCATTTTTTGTTTTTGTTGAACAGATCTGCAACAAATACTATTTCAATTTTTGGTACCCAAATGGATTTGGGTCCATGAGTGTTAGTGCTAGAGGTTTTGGAATCCCTCTCCTTATGCATCTGACTGCATTCGGACGTAAAATGTCCATTCTTTCTATACAATGAGGATGCATAAGTTTTTGTTTTGATTTCAGACTCAGATTCAACAAATCCTAATCTTGTTCTATTTTTCCCACCCCTGGAGTGCTTTAGAAGATGCTCAACATTTTTAGTCCCCAGTGTGAATTTTGACAAATCATATTTTAATAATTCGTTTTCTTTGGTTAAATTGATTACTTCTTCAGAAGTTGAAAGAAGTTTTGTATTTTTGTTTTTCAATAGACGATTTTCTTCAAGTAATTCCAGGATTCTTTTCTTTTGTTCCTTATATGCTGTAGAAATCTTTGATGAATCTGATAAAAGTTGATTATATGAATGCTCAAGAATTTCTAGATCAGATTCAATTACCTCCTCATTATCTGATTCTAATGATGAGTTTGCGTCTGCCATGAGACAAATGTTTGCTTCTTCATCTTCCTCTGACGATGTTGTGTCAAGATCTTCCCAGGTGGCCATCATGGCTTTCTTCTTTTTGAAGGGAATCAATTTCTTCTTCTCTTTTTCTTTTTCCTTTTCGAGTTTCGAACATTCTGTTTTGTAATGTCTAGGTTTCTTACATTCATAGCATAATGGTTGTGCCTTTTCTCTAGAAGGTCTGCTGTATTTTCTCCATCGTATTCCTTCCTTTTTCTTCATCATTGAATGAATCTTCCTTGACAAGAAGGATATTTTATTGTCAGTGTCACAGGTTCCCTCACTACAGCTATCATTGGACGTATCATTAATCTTTAGCGCTTTTGAGGAGGATGGTGTTGATTTTGTCTTTTGCACATTTAGCGCAATATACTTCTATTTTCTCCCAGCATCATTTTGATGTAACTCCAGCTCATGAACTTTAAGGAGTCCAATGAGTTCCTCCAAGAGAGCTTTTCTAGATTTTTGGATGCTCTTATAGCAGTGACTTGTGGTCTTCATTTCCTGGGTAAACTACGAAGTAATTTGTCAATATGGTCAAAATTATCATAAGTTCTACCTAGGAAAAAAAGTTCATTTACGATGGTTTGGAATCTTTCAAACATAGTCTGTATAGATTCGTTTTCTTCCATCTCAAAAAGTTCATACTTACGTGCCAACAAGCTTAGCTTGTTGCTTTTTACCTCTAGGGACCCCTCATAAGTTAGAGCTAGGGTGTCCCACATTTGTTTGGCACTTCTGAAGCTGTGAACTTTAGTGTATTCCTTTTCAGACAAAGCACACATGAGCGCATTTCGTGCCTTGGAGTTTAGCATGAATCTTTGCTTTTGCTCTTCAGTCCATTGTGCTCTGGGTTTCTCGTTACCGAATTGATCTAGAGGAATGTAGTTTCCTTGCTCAACAACGTCCCACATGTCTATATGACATGCATCAAAGAATGCAATCATTCTTTGCTTCCAGTAGTCATATTTGCTCCTTTGAAGAGGGGAGGTCAGTTTACGGCTTGTCCTTCGTTCTCCATGATCGTTTCCCCTGCAGTTTTAGATGCTCAACCCAAGGGGTCAAACTCTGATACCAACTGAAGTTAGCGGGAATACACACAGAAGGGGGGGGGGGGGTTGAATGTGTGTGTTCGGATTCGAAGGAATTTTTTAAACGTTTTCGCAAGAGTGCTATTGGCAGTTTTAAGTAGAATTTTCGTCTAGTGACTTTTGTTTTAACAAAACTAATTTTCAACGTAGAAGATGAAGTAAAATGGTTTTCTGTCTAGAAAAAGTTATCGTCTGGTAAAACAGTTTCAACAAAATCAAATAAGTTTTCATCCAAAGCTTTGTTGAAAAACAAAGTAAATCAGGTGCAAAGTATGTAATGCTGGAAAGTAAAGAGAATGCACAGACAGTTATACTGGTTCACTCAATCTGAGCTACGTCCAGTTTTCTTCCGCTCGTTATTGGTTAGAAAATATAAACTAAAAGGAGTTTAGGCCCTACTAGTTAGAATACTTTTTTTTTTTGGGTAATTAGACTGCTACTATTACTAGTGTATGAAGCAAATCTCTTAATAAAAGTTCAAAGTCTATTTTTTTGGGGTAAATAAAAGGGATAAAGTGTTGAACTAGATACATAGCAAGATACATTTGCAATCAAACTGCAATAGAGGAATTCCGAAAGTATGTATCTTAAAGTTTTCACTAACTAAAATTTTATAGTTAACACATAACATTATCTAAGCTAGATAATAGAAAAATATTTAGGCTAATTAAAAATAGTAGTATCATAAATAACAAAATAAAAAATGAAAATGTGAATTGGTAATTTATCATTCATGCAGACATATATAATGACAATTATTAGAATATACATTTTCTTTACTTCCAGCACTTCCAACCACATAACAATCGATCAATTTTGCAAATTGACCAACAAGTTGTCCAATTGCACCAGAGGCAGCTGAAACAAAAACATTCTCTCCTTTCCTTGGATAGCCTAATTCAAAGAAACCAACATAAGCAGTCATTCCTGGCATACCTGTGATCAAAGAAGAAATCAGCATGGGTAATAAGGCACAATAACATGTGAGAAAACAATGCAACAAGCATCTATAAGCTTGTTTACATGCTTGCTATGATTCATTTTGAAAATGTATATTATATACTAATCTAACAAACATAAACAATATAAACTGATATGCTTGCATATCATGCTAACATTAGGTGCATGATTCAATAAGAATCAACATAAATTGTGTTTGATGAATACATACCAAGAATACCAGTATAATATGAGAGTGGGACATCAATGTGCTCAATTTTGAAAAGTACAGTTGGAGATACCAAGCTGAATTCTTCCCATTTTGTAAATCCCCACACTAAATCACCTTTCATATAATTCGGGTGTCTAGATTCTAGGACTTTTTGACACCCCATGCTCGATTAATGGCTGCATATACATAACAGTTAATAATTACACAAATTTATGATTAAAAAAATGTATTTTCAAAACTACACTACAAATATTGTTTATATTAAAGTGTATCTTTTTATTAAAGTTTATACATTGGAACCATGACGTACATTAGCAATATGATATTATGGACTATTTTATAATTGAATATTGGGATTCTTGTTGTTGAACTTTTTTCCAAAAAGGAAAAAAAAACTTCATTTAACTTTTAGTCTATCAAATATTATAATTATATGATTTTGATTCCAATGTTTATATTGTATTGTTTTATATCATGTTGACAATGTTTATTAGTAAATTACTATTTTTATGTTAGCATTGAATAACAAAAGATGGAATATCTTTCCATTCTGCTAAACAAAATAGATTTTGACCTAACATGCACCCCCTCATGCCCTATATAATACCTTTCACGCCGAGTATTTGGGCATCTTAAATGTGAAAGATAGACTCTAATAAGCTCAACAAATAACTTTGATACCATCTTAAAAATGTGAATTATTAATCCTATTAGGCCACTGTTATCAAACTGCTATTAGTCCATTTAAAGATATCCAATTTTACGATTTTCAAGTTCAAGAAGTACAATCTTTGGTGTGAAAGAAGTGCGTTGGAGAACTATGTCGATTAGTGATTGTAGACCCCTAAAATTGTCCGGGTCGGAAA